TTTTCACAAACTTTCCAGGGCCTTGAAATATATATTTTTAAAATTCACAAACTTTCAAAAATTTCAAGGACCTGTGGGAACCCTGCAATGTGGAAAACTACAGTTCAGTTCTTTGTTTCATTTTCAGCTGCATGCTGAGAGATGTTGTGACAGTTTTCTTAAACTGAGACCAAAATGAGATGATCAACTTGGAGCAAATGAAGGTTTCATTGTAGCAGGAATCTTGTCTTGATCCCTCTGTTGCCAGGGGAATTTCTACCCTCAAAGACTGCAAAACAGTAATAAAAAAAGACAAGCACATTGTGTCCATCAAACACTAAAAATCTCGTTCTGATTTTTGCTGCAATGATAGTTTTTCCCCCTGAAGAACGAGGTTTATTTAGCTGAAGCGAACATTAAACTTTCATCATTTTATGTTCACAAGATGAGAAGAAAAGCTTGTTGGTCCAGTTTAAATGTTTTCTGCTGCATAAAGATTTTAAATACTCTGCACGCATGTTTAATACACGCAGACACATCCAAGGCCTCACCTGGAGCGAGGTTAGCATGCAGCTGGACACCARTATAAGAAGCCAGAAGTCCATGTGGAAAAACTGGGAGATTTTATAAGCCATAAAAACTGGGAAAATCAGCAGAAGCAGACACATGCTGAGGCCACGGAAATGTTTCCATAGACTTCTAAAAGCACAGGACAAACAGAGACAGAGTATTATGATAAAGCTTCAACATCATGTTTATACAGTACCTAGTTTCACTTGCATTTTGGTAAAGAAAATAAAAYGTATCGTTGCTACAGTTACCTGTTCCGCGATGCGCCCAGGGCCAGAATAACMGGATCTGTTATTTCTATCATCGACTGCAAGGTTGAGGTCAGCACAATGAAGAGGATGATGCTGAGGAGGAAGGTGCGCTGCAGAGCCTGCATGTCCAGCAGGCCCGTCTGCAGGGCAAGCAGCAGCAGGGTGACGCCCTCTGTCACGCCTCTGCAGGAACAACCAACAGCTGATGACAATTTAAACACACTGCTAACTTAAAAGGTAAACAAAATAACCCATCGCCATTAAAASACTCCTTTTAGGAAAAAATAATATTTACACATTTTCACTTACTCTGGATGGCATTAATTTGTGAAAAGCACTGGTGTGACTTTTTCTCAAAACAACCAAACACAGAATTTAACAAAATATTACAAAATAGGCTGAACTACTGTAATTATTTATTATCAAGAGGTCCATAAATATCTCTAAAAACTCCTCAGTTGATCCAAAATGCTGCTGCCAGAGTTCTGATGTTGTTGGTGATTCTGACGTTTTATTTTAAAGATGTTTTTGTTTCACGTTTTCCTAACAGAGAACTTCACTCTCCAGGACTGCAGGTTTACTTGTGGTTCCTAAAGCTTCTAAAAGTAGAACAGGAGGCAGAGCTTTCAGTTCTCAGGCTCTTCTCTTGTGGAATCAACATACAGTTTTTGTTCATGAGGCTGACACTCTGTCTAGAGAAATCTTTTTGATAAATCCTGAAGTTAGGGTTGCCTTGGGTTTCCTGAGCCATCCTTTAGTTCCGCTGCTTAGGGCTGCCATGATTAGTCGACGACTAATCAATTATTAAAATAATCGATGACTAATTTAATAATCGATTAATCGTTTATTTATTTTTTGTTC